CATAGAATTAGAACAGTGATCTATGGCCAGGGTGATGATATTTTATATTCTATACACTTGGAGAGTGCCAGGCTATCAAGTTCCCTTTAAATTCCCTTTATTCTCTGTGTGTCTCACACACTGTGAGTATTTGTTGTGTAACATCCACACAAGCTCAGGTTTATTGCTGACTGGGTTCATCAGCCACCGCGTGCTCCCCACATCTCTAAGGTGGGGACCAGGTGGTATCTGGGGTGCTGAGGAGCTGCTCAGGTTCCACACGTCGCTGCCTGGCCCCAGATAATCTGATAATGGTCATGCTGCTGTACATCAGGCCCCGGTGCTGTGCTCTGCCACGTGCCCAGGGTGAGCTGGTTGTCTGGGTACCATTGCAGCACCGAAGAGGTCCTGATATTGCTTCGCTGCCCTTTCTTCCCTCCTGGCAGAGCAGATGTGTTCCTGGGTTAGGAGGTAGTGGCAGCACCCACTGCTCCTCTGGGATGGATGCACACCAATCCCTAAAACCATCTGCAGGGTTCATTGCCTCATCTCCTCAAAGGCTTCCAGGGACCTCAGAGCAGATCCACCAGCCCTGACCCCGCCAGGGTGCAGGGACCAGTTCCACTCCATCCAAGGCAGCTCCCAAACCCAACGTGGTCTGAAGGGAGGAGGCTGAACACACCCAGAGAAACCTCTGTGGTTGGCAGCCTCACAAACCAGCCCTTCCCACCTCATGGCCAGCCCTCACCACCATAACCCAGCTGAGGTTTGGCTCCCATCAGGGGCATCTCTTTGCATTTATCTCCTGGCCACCCACCCAAGGAAAGACCTGTATTGTCTCTGAGGTGGAGAGTGAGCTGCTGTGTCACTGCAGCACTGTTGTTTTATCTGGAAAGGGGCTGAGCAGCTTTCAAAGCATGTTTCTATCCGGCCCCTCGTGCAGGGGGGACTTGGGGGTCCTCAAAAGGTGCAAATTGCAGCTGCACAATTAAATCATGGGGTGTGTCCCGGCCTCCGTGGTCCCTGGGGCAGCTCAGCCCTAAGGAGGAGACAGTGGCATTACTAATCAGGGCTTTGACCTTTACATGGCTTTTATTTAATACACATTCCACACTTCCCCAAACTCCCATCCAAAACATTGACATTTCCGCTGATAGATTGGGTCAGATTTTGGAGTAGTTGGGGGACTCAATTCACTCTTACAATGGTTAAATTCTTACAGCTAAATGGGCTTATTCAGTTAGTGCAGCAGCTGGTGTGATTTCGAGAAGAAAATAAACATTTCCTTCAAATATTTTGATTGGCAACTGGACAACTGAAGTACTCAAGCTCGGATTGCCAGGGTCCAAAAAAGCAAATGGGGGCTGGACGGCGAGTAAGCGAGGGAAAACCGTAGTAAATCGTCGGAGGCAGCACTATGGAGCAGATGTGTGTGAGATGTGCTAGGGAAGGGGACAGCAAGAAAGGGTTTTTTAAGCCCATTTTGAGCTGTGATTCCAAAGGGAACGCAGGGTCCGAGGGTGCAGCTTCACCACTCCTTGTTCCCTGGCTTTGCTCAGCAGCTGCTTGCTCCAGATTGCTGTTTGATCCTGGCTGCGGCAGAGGGTCCTTGCTGCTGAGTTAGGTGGTTATGGAGGGTGTTAATGGCCGTGTTTTAATTGGATCTCACTGGGGTTGTTTCAGTGGAGATTTCCTCGCGTGCTGGGCAGGCGCTGGGGCTGTGTGGCTCTGATCAGAGGCAGCCAGGATGGAGGGGCAGCCCTGAAGCAAAGGAGATGGGATGGAGAGGAAACCTTGAGGTGAAGGAGACAGGACAGAGGGCCAGCCCCGAGGTGAAGGACCAAGATGGAAGGGGCAGTTGTGAGGTGACAGTGCTGAGGTGGAGGGAGGGTTGTGAGGTGAGGATGTGATGAAGGAACAGCCCTGAGGTGAGCACCAAGATGGAGGGGAAACCCTGAGGCGAAGATGGGATGGAGGGGAAACCCTGGGGTGATGGAGCCAGGATGGAGAGGGTGCTGAGGTGAGGGTGCTGAACTGGAGAGACAGTTGTGAAGCGAAGGATGGGACAGAGGGGCAGCCCTGAGGCGAGGACCAAGATGGAGGGGAAACCCTGAGGTGAAGGAGATGGGACAGAGGAGCAGCCCTGAGGTGAAGGACAGAGGACAGAGGGGCTGCCCTGACGTGAAGGAGACGGGATGGAGGGCAACCCTGAGGTGAAGGAGACAGGACAGAGGGCCAGCCCCGAGGTGAAGGACATGGGATGAGGAGCAGTCCTGAGGTGAAGGACACAGGACACAGCGGCAGCCCCGAGGCGCCGGCCCTGCGGCGATGGCGAGGCCCCGGCCCCCTCTGGCGGCCGCCTCCTTCCCGCCTCCTTCCCGCCTCCCGCAGCCCGGCGGGCGCCCCCTGCTGGCGGCGGGGCCGCGGTCCCCTCAGAGGCGGCCTGAGGGGGCCGGGGGCGCCGCGGTTTTGTTTTTAGGGTGATTTGGTTTGGTTTTTTTTTGTGGTCTCAGACCGGTCAGGGAAAGCTGGAGCTTTATTGTGGGCCAGACTTAAAGCCCAAGGCCGGCGGGGGTGGAAGCGAGCTGGTGACAGCCACTCGGATGCCTCATGGCTCTGCTGGGTGTGGATTCCGTTTGAGGGGTTCGCACTGAGGGATTTGCGTTTTGAAGGATCGGATTTGCAGATCCCAGCCCTGCAGAGCCAGGGGTTCAGAGCCTGGCAGAGCTCACTCTCTGCCCACCCGTGTACCTGAGTGTCCCCAGAGCCCACAGCCTCGCTGTGCCTCGCCCGTCACACACAAAGCCTGTAATTAACATTTTTACATGCTCCTGTCCAAATTAGTAGCAGGGAGCCACTGCCAAACGGTGCACGTTCAGGCCAATAAAATGTAGCCTCTAAAAAAACCCCTCTTTGAGTGAGTTATAGAGGAAAAAGGAAATGTGCCCTGAGCGCTCAGGTTTGATTTAGATTTGCATTTTATGAAATATTATTTATGGAGCTGTGAAAAGTAATGAAGGAGCACGGTCTGAGCGATTGTCATCTGGGAAGGCAGCGAGCGGCAGTCTGGTGTTTAAGGGGCTGAGGGGGATTTAGAGGCTGCTTTTTCTCAGTGCAGTGCTGCTGAATTGAAGGGGAGGCATTCAGAAGACAGCACTTTTTCTTTCCAGTCCAGGCCAGGATTTCTGCCCCATGGTCCTGTCTCAAGCTGTGATGCTGCTGGCTTGCTATTGCCACGGGGCTGTGGTCAGGCCGCTTCTTGCAGAGCTGGTCTCCAAACCTCAGCTCCCTCAAACCTCGGTGCCTGGCAGCAGCGGTGGCTGTAGCACGGCTTTGGGATGGGTCCCTGCTGGGCTGTGAAATCGGGCTGGGAGCGCTTTCCCCACCGCTGTGCTTTTCCAGCCAGCCCAGCACGGAGCAGGGCCGGCCCTGTGGCCGGGCAGCCGCTTCCACGGGCGCTTTCCAACGCCGGGTGTGTGCAGAGCAGTGTGGTTCGGGACAGCTTTGAGCTGCGCCTCTCTTATCTCGCCCCAAAGCCGCAGCCACGTTCACAAACCAGGTGCTCCCCCGCCTTTCCCCTCCGTGGAGCCTGCGTGGGAAGGCAGGCGCTGCTGGGCGCCCGCAAAAGGGCTGCAGGGGAGGGAGGGAGGATCCTCCCCTTCTCCTTCCACTGCTGAAGGACTCACCTGGGATCAGAAGGGAGGTTCACATCAAATCCCCTCCATACCTGCTCCTCCAGAGCGTGCCCGTGTCACTCGGTAGCTGGAAGGGATTAAATCAAGGGTTTTCTCCTGGGGAAATGCTTTGGGGCCTGGAACGCCTGCCCTGAGAAGTTAAAAATGCTTCATTGTAATAAATAGATCTAAAACGCACGGCCCTGTGCATGTAGAGCAGCCACACAATCCTCTGGATGTGTGTTTGTATGTATATGCATTTCCAAAACCAACAGGCGTGTTTAGCATACTCACCTCACGTTCTCTTGCTCTGAGGGATACAAAATCCAGCTGATGTGACCAAAAAAAGTCACTTTTGAGGCTGAATGGAGTCCCACTAGCAAAGGAGAAGGGCCCTGCTTTTAACAAGAGGAAAATAGAGGAGGTCTGAAGGACACTTTCCTTGGAGAGCAAACCTCATTTCTCTCTGCTTTAATGCACCAAGGCCAGAGGTTCCTGGGCTCTGTCTCAGCCTTGGGACAGCTGAGAGAGCCACAGGAATGGCTCCAGCTCCTCAAAGGAGCTTCTGCTGTGGATTCCCACCCCTAACCTGGGCTTCCTGCAGGAGGATGGGATCCCAAGCCAAGATCCCTTTCCAGTTCCAAGTTGGCTGCGACAACCTTTGGGTTTAGACCTCCAGGAAAAGGCGTGGAGGTCTCCATCATCCCATGGAGCTGGGGAACATTCCCACCACGCTGGCCCGAGTCTCCCTTCCCCCAGCAGAGAGCCTGAATTTCTCACTCTCCTTATCCTCTTGGAAGGAGAAAAATACACAGAGAACTCAAGCAGAGGGATATAGTGGCTCCTGGCTTGGGAGTTTTCAGCTGTGTGTTTATCAGCTCCATCCCCTGATGGTATCAGCACAAACAGGCCACCCACAAGAAGGCTTAGCAGGCTGGTCTGGGCTCCAGCTTTTCCTGCCTGTCTCCGTGTGTGTGTGTGTGTGTGTGTGTGTGTGTGTATACAGCAGGGATGGATGATCCCAGGGCCCGGCCGTCTGGGGCCTGCCTCCATTTATTTACTACACAGCTGATGTCATGGCTAAACATCTTTTTTCTGTGTTTATGGGGTGTGCTGCTTTAATCTGCCCGAGATGAATAGACCCCTAAGAGAAGTCAGCTTAGCCGTGTCCCTTCTTGGATAGGAAACAACAAATTTTAGGACAGGAAATGGGAGCAACTTAAACAAACGGGTTTAGGGTTTTTATTTAAGTCCCCCAGCTCTTTTCCCTGGCAGACTCAAGAGGTGCTTTCCCTTCGGATTCCTCGGGAATGCTCTAACCAGCCCCTCTCCTCCTGCACCCCGCAGGCACGTCAGAGCTGAGCCCCTTCTCGGACCCGCGGCAGTTCGAGCGCTCCTTCCCCACGCTGCCGGCGCTGACGGAGACGCGTTTCTCCGACCCGCGGATGCATTACCCCGGCGCCATGTCCGCCGCCTTCCCCTACACGGCCACACCCTCGGCCACGGGCATCGGCGGCATCAGCATGACCAGCATGCCCACCACCACCCGCTTCCACCACACCTACCTGCCGCCCCCGTACCCCAGCTCCACGCAGAACCAGAGCGGGCCCTTCCAGGCCAACCCCTCTCCCTACCACTTGTACTACGGGACGTCCTCGGGCTCCTACCAGTTCTCCATGGTGGCGGGAGGCGAGCGCTCGCCCACCCGCATGCTCTCGTCGTGCACGAGCGCCTCGGCGGGGAACAACCTGATGAACCCCAGCCTGGGCGCGCAGAGCGACGGCGTGGACGCCGACGGCAGCCACAGCAATTCCCCCACCACCATGAGCACCACGGGCAGGATGGATGAGTCCGTCTGGAGACCCTACTGAGGAGGAGCCCAGCTGGGCAGCCGTGTCTTTAACTTCATCAGCCACCGCGGCTCCTATTGGGAGCGACCAAAGTGATGCCAAGGGAAAAGTTAAACCAAAGTCTTCCAAACCCAAAGTTAAGGATCCTCTGCATGCAAACATCAAGCGAAGATCAACCAAGACCTTCGTTGCATTTCAAGGTGAACACCCACGAGGCTTGAATGTGTCGCTTGATGTGGTTCCTTCCGTATGTTTTAGGTATGTGGATTGTACATAGGGAAAAAAAGCCCCAAGGACGTGTGGAATCAGATGTTTGGTACTTGCAGAACACTTCTCGTTCATCTCACTCGCACCTCTTCCCCACACAAAGCATTCAGAAGTGAGGAGAATCTCACCCTGCCTCTGCAAGATGGTTCAGAGAAGAGAAGACACCAGGGAGTCACCTGAGCCATCTCTCTGCCAGTGCAGGAGGACCGAACTTAACTTAAAAAAAAAAAGGAGAAAAAAAGAAAAAACTCCCATTGTCTCCTGTCCTTCCCTCCCCGCTGGTGAAGGGTCCCTGAGCACCAAAGAGCAGGGGGGTTTGCAGCACAGCCAGGGGCACTGGGGCTCAGTCAGCCACGTGAACAAGAGCTGTGATGTGATTATTGTTATTATTTGTTGACGACGCAAGTTGTATTGTTCATTTTGGTGTCACTGTCGTCGTTTGTCAATCAGTAACGTGGCTGACCCCGGGCCTGGCTGACCCCTCCTCCATGTTTACACACGAGATGTACTTTTTATGGAGATGTTTTGTTTTGTTTGTTTGCTCTCTTGTCCTGACCTCACCGTTCAGCTCTTTGCTCCCCTTAGCAAACCTCAGTGATGGTGGCTGAAGTGAAGGCGGCATTCAGGACAATCTGAGACGTTTGAGATGCACTTCCAAGGGGCTCAGGAGCCTTTGGCATGGCCTTGCCACCGTTCTCCAGGTGTTCCTTCCATCCCCTCTGAGTGGCAACACTCACAGCTCGTGGCAAAGCACCATAATTCTGTTCATGTTTCCCATGTTCTCACCCAGAGAGGATTAACACGATTTTTTATTTTGACTCACATGTGTCAGTTCATCCTGAAAGCTCTGAGATCTGGAGAAAGGAGCAGTTTCTACTCCTGGTGGTGGGAATGTTGTGAATTGATGCTGTGCAGCCTTTCCCATCCCCTCACCCTCCTGTCCTTCCCCAGATGACCCCGAGCACAGGGATCTCGCTGTAGAGGGGGCACTTAAGCTGCCACTGGTGGTGGTGGCATCAGGTGGCATTAGCAGGAACCAGCTGTGCCAAGCACCACGCACCCTCACAGCTGACACCACAGAGATTGCAACCAAACCAGGGCCATGCTGGGAGGCGGCTGTGGGCTCCTCCAAGGCTCTGATGCACAACACAGGGTTTGTCACCTCCTGCAGGCCACCTGTGCCCTCTGCTGGCATGAGAACTGGGGCTGGATTCAGGGTTTTTCGGGGTGGCAGGGCTGGGAGGGCACAGACAGATTCCTGGGGATCCATAACTGCAGTACCCAGTGCCCTGCAGAGCCCTCCCCGCAGCCACCGGACAGTCCCAGCCCCAGTGCCACCAGTAACCACACCTTTCTTTTCCCATTTCTCCCATAAACACAAGAAAATCGAACGCCCAGAGCTGCCCTCCTGGCCCCTGTGCCTCAGTGCCACCATCCCAGCCTTGTCACCTGTCCCCAGCTCCCAGCTGGCAGCCGGTCACCCTCAGCACAGAGCGCTGGGATTGCACTACCACAGCGAGGCTGGAGCAGCACATCCTGGCTGCCCTGGAGGGCTGCCATGACCACTCAGAGTTCCATAAGCAACGAAGAACAACTCTTTTCGATAATAATAATAATGATAATAATAATGATAATTTTTTTTTAAAAGCCTTACCCCAGCATAACTGCAACCTCCACTTGCCTTAGCGCCGGCGCTCGCCGGCTCTGGAGCTGGACAGGGCAGCCTGTGTTTTGATGCCTTTTTGCATTTGTCATCCTGTCCCACTGGTTGAAAGCACAAAGGAAACAAGGCATTCGTAGTTGTAGGTTAATTTAAGACTGATTGTAGTGAGTTTTAAAAGAGAAAATAATAAAAAGAATGGCAACGATGTTGTTTTTATGACATATTGTCATGTGAAGGTGTAAATAGATGCACCTGTGTTGTATGCAAATGGTCATGAGACAGGCCAATGTTTTTTGCTTTGCACTATAATTTGCTTTTTTTAAAAAAAAAAGAATGCACAATCGCTTGTACAGTAAAGCCCCTTTGTCTGGCTCACAGAATATTTAACTATAAAATCTAATTTTTGGTCTTATTGTTATAATAATATAATTCTTAAATGTGTTGAAGGATACGATTCTTAATAATGCTTCTAATACTTGTATGTGCAGGGTAAAATATCACCAGACTAAGGAGATGAGATCAGAGATCTTTGTAGATAAAGAAGGCTAAAGTTGTTGGGTTTTTTAATGGTGTCTTATGATGGACATTAAAAAAAATGCTAGTGATACCAAAAAAAAATGTGGTTATTTGTGTAATACCCCAGCCCTACTTGAAGGTAATGCCCTATATTTAATATGTAGCCCAATTTTTAACCTGCAGCACTTGTGACTGGGGAGGGGGGAGGTGGGGAGGGCAGAGGAAGAGGAAGAGGAGGGTCTGCTCCTCCCGAAGTCATCGGGGAAGCTGCGGCTGGAGGAGTCTCCTGGCTCTGGAGCAGGGCTCGGCGGGGCTGGCGTGGGGACAGAGCCCCGGCTGGGGGGACAGTTCTGCTTTTCTGGTATGGGGTCATTTCTGCTCCGCGGGCCGTGGCCGTGGCCTCGGGCCGCCGTGTAATCCTGTCAATGCCATGTGGATCAATAAACAAATGGTTACAATGGCCCCCTGCCTCCCGCCTGTCACTTCTGCCCGGGACAGGGGCGCTCCTCACGCTGCTCTTTCTCCAGGCTCTGATTTTTGGCTCATTCAGAGCACCCCGCTACCAGCTCTGGGGCTGCTCCTGGCCACAGTCTGGCACCACAGGAGTGTCCAGGGGAGGATGGGATGGGATGGGATGGGATGGGACAGGGTGGGAGGACCTGAGCTCGCTGAAAACCCATTTAAAGATCTCCAGAGGGTCCTGGAGCGCTGCCCGTGCCCGCCCAGCATCGCCTCCCTGCCCTCCTCCTGTCAGCGCCGTCCCGAGCCGCAAAACCCCCGCACAAATCCAGCAGGACCCAAATTCCCGGGCGGTGCGAGCCCAGACCCCTCAGCACTCAGCGCTCGCCTCCAGAACCCAAATGACAGCTGAAAGGCAAAAAGGAAAAGATCCCAGCCCACAACAGGATCCGATGCCAAGGCGCTGCGGGCCGGGGCTCCCGAGGAGAACTCAGCGCCAGGATTATTCATGAGCCCGGGGCAGGAGCGCCGGGGCCATTCCCAAAGCTCTGCCTCCCCTCTGCAGCATCTCCGTGAGCAGAGCCCACAGCGACGTTAGCCTGGAAAGAGGAAAAAAAAAATTACAAAAAAAAATTAGGAAAAGACCAAACCAAACCACAATAAATGCTCGTACCCAGCTCCACAGCCCTGGCCAGCAGGAATATGTTCCAAGGAAAACCCAAGAGTTAGCTGCCTTTTCTTCACAGCTACTGGGAGAGGAAACACCCCGAGGTGTAGCTGTCATTTACAGGAACTTTCTGTTCCAAAGGGATCCGTGCTTTGCTCGCAGCCTCGGTCAGAGCTGCAGTGGGAAGAGAGAAGGAGAAGGAAAGAGAGGAGGGAGAAAGGACAAATAAAAAGGGTGATCCATGCATGGATCATCCATGGAATCCATGGCGTTCAAGTGGGTCTGATGCTGATGCCCAAGGAGGGGATGAGGTGTCAAGGACAACAGCACCTAAAATCCTGATGGGAGGCCCAGAGAGCTGATGGTGTTAAATGTGCCCAGCACCTGAGGGCCAGAGAGCTGTGATTTTTATACTGGTATTATTTTTATATGGGTATTATTATTATTTGTGTTATTCTATGGGTGATATTTTTATAAGGCTGATGTTTTTATATTGGGGATATTTTTACCTGAGCCACCTACCCTGCACGGCATCCAACGTGCTGCTGCTGCAACATGCTTCCACACTGATTTTGCCCCAATTTAATGAATTTAAATTAAATTAAAAATTAAATTAAATTAATTTAAATGGAACATCTGGACCCCAGCATGGTAGTGTGGGGTTGTGGGGTAGATCAACCTCTCATAAAGGGTCCCAAAGACCTGAGGGCTCCCTCTGTTCCAGGGGGAAGGTGAAAAACAGGGCTGGAAGCAACAGCGTGGGGCAGTCAGAGCAGGAATGTTTGGATTTTCTTTTGCAACAGAAAACAGAAAGGGGAAGAAAAATAGCTGGAGCTTGGAAAACTATTTTTTGAGCATTCAGATATTAAATTGCGTGGAGTTTGGGCTAAAAAATCTCCTAGGAAAAATGAAGACTATTTCCTTTGAGATCACAGCTAACAAAAGTCTCAGCAAAAATCTTGTTTTATTCTCATTCCAGCCCAAACTCCCCCAGCCTCTGTTTTAATGACTCTGTTGTGTCCAAACTGCCTTGGTAAATAATCTTTTAACTTGCACAAATTCTGAGACTACCCAGGATGTAGGGGAAGGATCCTGGCCCTTGCCTTGCCCACATCAAGCCCTTAACGAACCATGCCCAAACGAGCAATCAGCATCATTAAGGCCCAATTCTGTTCCTCTGAAATAGGAATGAAATCCTGTTCATCTGAAATAGAACCACATGGCCCTGAGAGGTGCAGAGCACCCATCCAGCACCCCCAGGGACCCCCTGCACCTGCAAAAAAATCACCCTGTGGGCACCCAGCTGGAGGAGAGCGAGGTTCCCACTCTGGCATCATCTCCGTGGGCATCCACGGGGGGTTAATCCTCCTGCAGGGCCTTCCTGCTGGAAAGGATGGGGGGTTGGTGGGACTGGGGTGGGTGTTTTTGTGAATGCTGCCTATTTAGAAGCTAAATGATGGAAAACATGGAAAATTCATTAGGGTGTCTGGGCAAGTGTTGGGTTACACGTCATTCACATCCACTTACTCAGCGGGACCTCGCGCCTTGGGGGAGAGATATATTTATATACATTTATATACATGGATTTTATATAGAGGAGCAGTTTGGGGAGGGTTTTTTCCCCCTCCATTTAATTTCCAGACTGGCACAAAAATGAGACTTTTTGC